ACATATCAATTAATAACTTGTCTGTCTTTGAGCCAGCAGCCTTGCTGTGTTACAATTCTTAATTTGCAACAGAGATTCAATAGCCTGGGGGAAATTTCCTGTCCTTTGCAAGGTCAATATTTGAAACTGCAAGGCTTTGGAAAACCAGGCCCTGTGAGGTACATTTGCTTTATGAATCCTCTACAGAAAAGTATTTTGCATTTCTTTTCAAGTAATGGCTACCTAAAAGCAACTTAGCTCATGTAATAAGACTAAAATTGTCACAAAAACAATATTTATCCAACAGTAATTATTCAGGGACTCCAATGAACTGATTCTTATTTAATAATACAAATTAATTACTGACAGTAAATTCTAAAATAAGGCATGTTAATATCTTAGAAAAGCAACTTGCCACTTTGGAAATTCTTTCTACTGTGAATTTTAATTTCAATTTTTTTCAAAATGAGACAGCTAAGTATTTCCACTCACATTGATTTATAACCTGTACTTCCTGCTTCTAAAGAGGATCTAAAGGAAGCTGACAATTAAACATAAGCTAGAAGAAAAATAGTTCTTTAAAATGTAGATGGAAGAAGAAAAAATATTCCAAACATCTTGACTAAAAGGGTGATTAGGAATTAGGAATAATAAGAGAAATTTGGGGCTAGGTAGGAAAAAAGACGTGAAGTGGCTGGCAACATAAGTAATTGTTTCATAGATCTTTCTTAGGTGAACTAAAAGAACCTGAGACCAAGTGCCCTTCAGAAGGGGCCTTGCTATTAAGAATACAGGACTAGGATTGCTTAAAGGGACACTCAAAACCCAAGAATTCATCCATCCATTCGTTTGTTTATTCTGAAAATATTTTTTAGTACCCACTATATGCCAGGCATTTTGCTAGGTGCAGGGTTGCAATGGGGAACAAGCCTGAGGGAGTCCCTGCCTTCAGTCACTTACAGTCTGGTCAGAGAGACAGACAATGAAATAAGAAAAATCCACAATGTGGTGAGTGTGGACACAAGGCTGTGGCAGCAGAACAGCTGCTGTAGAGAAAAGTATAACTTTAACATGCACAATTTGCTTTTGTACAAATGCTTGCTAAAAATGGGAAAACATAACTAATGTCATTTTAAGGCAGCTACTAAGGGGTTATGTAGAGGTCAGGCGGGCCCAGGCACACTAAATTCCAGGAAGGGAGTAACTACCACCCAGTTCCAGGAACTGACCAGTTCCTTATCTAGAGGCCACCTGGCCACAAGGAAGATAAACGATTGGGAAATACACTATTCCTTATCAGTGAGCCAGCCCGCTAAACCCCCCCAATAAATCTAAAGGTCGCCTTCGATAACAAGTAAGCAGTATACAACTCATTCTGTTGCAAAAGTCTGTCTAAAAAACTGTATAAAAAGCTCCTGTGTTAAGAGCTCAGGGCCGCTCCTGTCCAAGAGACTGAGCGACCCCAGCATGCTGGAATAAACTCCTCTTGCTTGATTGCAACGGTCTCTGCCTCACGGTCTTTGTGAAGTGAGCCATCCCAACATGTGAGGTTTGTGCACAGTGCACAGGTCTTACANGGTCTTTGTGAAGTGAGCCATCCCAACATGTGAGGTTTGTGCACAGTGCACAGGTCTTACACTGCCTTAGCTGGGCCCCTCACTGCATTGCCATAACACCCCTGCCTCCCCACCCCCAAACAAGCAGGCAGAGCTCTGTAGCAGAACACAGCAGCAAGGGAGCCCAGGGTGGAGCAGCAGGCAGAGTGCCCCCCACACGCCTTCTTCCTTCCTCACACCTGAGCATTGACTTTCAAAACACTAAATGCTTTTTCATAACCTACTAGCCTTTTATGAGAGTCTGACAGGAAGCTCCCACTTAAGTCCTTAGGGGGGATATTGAACAACATCAGGAACCGGGAGTGGTAGAGTGAAAGGAGTTGCGGGTTTGA